AATGCAAAGGCTGATTACCTCATGGTAGATTGAAGGCATCACTCGGCCATACCGAGTTAAAAAAGGCCAAGCTTATCCGTTGACATTTGAATGTCAGGTTGTTTAAAAGAGAAACCAATACGGCTCAATCAAAAGTGATCATGAAATGACTGAATGACGGCATGCAGGTTCTTGGGTTAGCCTGATCCCATAAAGGACTAACAGATACGAATATGACCACCAGCTATGACCCCAACATATTGGGTATGTCATCCAGGTGCATCATGCAGGTACGTTTTCACAACCTAAGGTGAGTGTCTTCATTGGCACAAGACTCACCAAAGGTCCTTGTGCCCCCTGCTATGAATTAAAATGCAACGGTATCCAAAATTTTATGGTGGAAAGCAGTTGAAAACTAGTTGGTTGGAATCAGTCGCAAGAAAGTGAGGAACTCTTTGGTACAGAGCTTGACACACACAAAAAGGCACGAAGCCGGGCTGGTATTTCTTTAAAGGCGAGAATGGAAGACATCATCAATAGATTGGTGAGAAACCGCAGAGGAAAATTTGCAACCTCATCAGTGTGTTAGTAAATATTTTGCCGCAGCCAAAAGGTTAGGTATGCTTGAACTGCCTTCTGTACAGGACGCGTTGGCAGTCTGGTTTGGAGAACCCTTTCTGTACATACAGCTGAATGAGTTGGTTGAGATCATCACGGACAAATTGTTTGGGAAACGTGTATCTGCGAATTAAGGTTGCACGGGACTTTAGTCCGGACAAGCGGAGACGCATGCTGCCAGCAGAATGGAGATCACGAATTTTCCATAGTGGAGGTACTTGGTACCTTACGGTTCGTTGCACGACATCGATGGTGAACCCAAGGAGTGTACCATCTTCGACGGTTTCCAACTCCACCGGCGCTTGATAAAAGAAACAATCGGAAAGCACTCGCATGGGCAATGCGGAGCGAAATCGATGGTCAAACAAAATGAATCTGTTGTCCACATATCGTGTGAACAGAAGCTGGAGTTGGCTGGATTGAACAAAAGTTAAATACGCATTTCTCCAGCTGCGCTCTATGAGCGTCACAGCCAAATTACTGAGAGAGGGAGAGATGTGTGATCCAATCCCTGCTCCACGATGCTGTACCCAAATTTGGTTGACAGCTTTAAACACGTGGGTACTTAAAGAAGCCTGGACAATTGTCAAAATATCTTGAACTCGAACGGTCTTGATATTGGATGATGTCTTCTTGCACTGTCCCACAAATGCAGTGTGGACAACTGGCCCTTTCAGAGCCATGTTGACCGAAACTTGTGTTTCACCATGTTGATTGACCCATTCCGTGATCAATTGTTGAATCGCATCAAGTAAACGTGATTGAGGGACGCTGTTGAAAAATCCAACAAGATCATCGTTGATGGCAGCAAATTGAATATCGTCATCTGTATGAAAAAACCGTTGATGGATATGTTTCCAAATTGCAGGAACTGAAAGTTGGCCGGCTTCTTGCGGCCAAAGCATCACACACATCGTATCAAGAGTTCTGGCGGTGGCCTGCATGAGTTTACCATAGCGTGAGCCAAAATACGAAATCAATGTACGTCCTTTGTTGAACATCTTCTTTCTTTTCAGATGTACAAAGCCGCGAGGCAGTGTCGAGGATGTGTTGATCCCCCATCTGTATCGGTTTTGCAAGGACGGTGTCAAAGCAGTAGCAATGAGCTTTTGAGCATCTTCTTCATTTCCAGGAAAACGGGAAAACAATTCAGGATCATCCCATGTTCTGCAAGCAGACTCAAAATAGAAGGAAGGACAAAACAGGGTGATACGATGAATTTCATGATCAGCATGATGAATCACCACATTGGGTGGTAACCATTGAAGGAGGTGCTTGATGTTGTGGAAGGAAAATCTGGGATTAGTCTGCAGCTCCTTGGTGTGAGCGGTCCATTGTCGAAGAAGTTCGGCTTGAAGATCACGATGAGAAAACGGAGGGCAACCATGATATTTAGTCCAGTACTGCAATTGTTCATGCCAAATGTTCTGAAATTGTGCGAAGCTGGGAAAAAACGTAGAGGAGGCGTTGGCAGTCTCAAAGATGCGCAACTTGGAGGGTAAGTTCAACTCATGGATACCAACTGCAACATGTTGACGGAGACCAAAACAATGAATTGAAGGATCAAAATGTTTGATTTTTGCAATCAATTGAGAGCACGAACATGTCAACTGGGTCGGATCCTGTACAGGGTGCTTGTGCTCATAGTGCTTGTAATTGTGTAGAAAACCTGAGAGTGTCTGTGCTGCAGCTTCCCTCAGTTTTGAGGTTGGAAGATGCAACGGAATTGCAATTTCCTTGTACTGTAGGACATGATTACGTAAAAATCTTGAAACTTGTGCTAAAAAATCAGAGTGTGCCAAAAATGGCATAGTCGCTGGACGATTCAGTTTTGGTATCGTCATATTTCTGAACTTCATGGCTGATGCAAGAAGTTTCCTGGCTCGACCGCGCGCTGGCTGTTCTAAATGATTGCAAAGTCGGTACAACACATATATTTCCCAATCATCAAATTTCCCAGACCTGAGGGTTGTCGCTGTGTCAAAGGAGAGGCGGCCAGGACTTGTGAGCTCAAAAAGAATGTTCCAAGCTTGAGCTTGTTTGCAGTGAATGGAGGGAGGAACACCTTTGGTAATGAGTCGTCTGCGTAGTCTTTGAAACAATCTGGTTCCCTGTGGAATAGATGGAAATGTCTGAGAATGTTTCTTGTACTGAACCAGCCATCCTGATGCTTTCAGCGTCAAGATTTTGGTGATAAATGGATGGTTCAACGGTGGTTGCCATCTTGAAATCAGTAAATGTTCAAAAATCCAGGCTTCTTGATATGTAGAAAAAGAGGCAATTGGTATTGCCGTAAAATTGGAAAAATCCGAACGTCGAGACCAGTACTTAACAGCAAGTTCAACATGAACAGGAGTACCAGCTTTGGCCAGTCTGTACTTGGCCATTCTATTGAATTCCCGCTTGGCCATTCCAATGGATGTGGAGCCAATATAAAATCTGCCAGCTTGTTTGTAGGAAAGTGAAGTGGAGTTGGGAAGGTTAAACTGCATTTTAAGATAGGTGACAGCTGTACATTGAAAGAATACAAAAGTGTAAGTCTCTGGATTAATACCAAGGTTCTGCAGTCTTCGCTGCCAAACCGCGGTATGATACGTGCGTGATCCAAAATGGAAAAGACAAATGAGATGAAGCAAACCAAGGGCCCAAATTGCACAAGACTTGTTGACATCAGGGACAAAGTGCACGATCTCAATAAATACGGATCTCAAAACTGTGATGTAATCCAGAACGGCTTTCGGCCGATGTTTGGAAACATCCATAGCTAGTCAAGCTGTAAGAGCTGCTCCAACAGCAACTGCCTGTTGGAGACTTGTGATGCTGAGCTTGAGGACAGCACTTAAATTAAGGCCATATTGAGTGCTGGCCTGTTGCAACTGTTCCTTGGTGCATTTAGCAGCCTTTATGATATCCATGATTTTCTTGGACATCTGCTGGGTTTCCAGGTTGAAATTCTGGGTCCACTTCTTTACATTGGCTGCAGTGGTTCCGGAAAGCTGATTCTCTCTGAGACTTGGGGCCTTTGGCTCCAAAATCTCCTGAATTGTGATTTCTGTCGGAGAGTGCGTGGCAGAGGTCTCATCTTTTGGCGACGCAGCTGCCTTGTGGAACATAGGTGCCAGCTTTCTTTGCTTTGGCAGCGATTTCGGAGAAGCCCCTAATGCCTCGCTAGGTCTCTTCTTGTGAGAAGCAGAAACAACAGCAGGAGAAACAGGAACAACAGAACCAGCAGAACCAGGACCATCAGGATCATCAGTTGGCAATTTGGGATCAGGGGCAAGAGTGCCGGTGATACGCCGTGATCTCTGGGGTGTGTCCGGAATGCCTGCTTGTGCAAGCTTGGACTTGGCAGCTTGAAGCTTCGCTTCGGTCTCCTGGAGCCTTCGCATGGCTTCGGTATCCTGTTTTACAGGACACTGAGCCTTGAGTTTATCGGCTATGAACTGAACTAAAGGTGCCATAAACTCAATCGGTTTGTCTGTGCGATTGGGAATGCCCTGCTGGGGGGCCAACTGGCGATGGAGGCTTTCAGCCGTAGCATCGATATCAATTCCTTGATCACGGAATGTCTTCAAAATTTGGGAACCAAACACAGATTCAGCAACAGATTTCGCACAAATAATGCCAACAAATCTACCCTCACTGAGCGCTCGAAGCGCTGCTTCATCAGGTCCATGCCGAGTAAGATGACTGAGCGGGACGGAAAGAGGATCTTGGCCAGCAAGATTCCTCTTGCGGCTCCATGCAGTCGGTTGAATTGATCTGTACAAACGGTAACCATATTGAACTTGATCATCCCAACATTGACTCGTGCTGCGCCAATTTGATGGTAAACTCACGGGCGGACTCGAAGACGGAGGCGGAGGTGGAGGAGACTGCTGCTGCTGCCATTGATTGTCCCAAGAGTTCCATTGGGACCTGTTCCAGTACGACATGGCTAACGACGGAGAAGTTAACACGTCAACAGGAAGCCTAAGAACCCAAAACTGCAGCTAAAACTGAAATAACAAAAAGAATTGAAAAACCTGCAATTGGATGCGGCACGTTGATTCAACGCAGCATTCTGATGTATCGTGTTGTTGGACAAAATGGATCACAATTCCGATAGAGTTAAGATATGTACGTCAAAATCAAATCGGAATGCATGGGTTGTCCATGCGGTTTTTTTGGACATCTCAGCAAATGTCGATCGCACATGCAACGGAAATGAATTAAGCATACCGGTAACAAGTCTGATGGAGAAACGGGCAGTTCATATTGAAGCAAAATTCCAATCAGACAAAAATAGAAAATGGTAAAAACAGCAAGGTTCAAAACGGAGTAGGGAATTAGTCTAGTGGGCTTTCAGCTGCCACTCTGAGTGCAAAACCTAAGAGTTTGTGGGAGTTCTCATTAGTGACCCACATACGTCCTCTTTGATGGTGGACGCATCCGCCATTCATGGTTTTCTGTACGCATTCCCATTCTCCCCCTTGCTTTACGGCCTCAGCCGTTCCCCATCCTACCGCAACTGCCAGAATGTTACTTGTATTCTTTGCAGCGTACCATGCTGCATGTGTGATTCTGGCCATTTCTTTGTCATCCCAAGCTCTGTCGTTGGTTCTTTTAGATCCAAGACTGAAAAATGAGCAAGATTGGTTGTTGTGTAAACGGCTAGGTCCGATCTTTTGATCAGAAAAAATGCCTTTGATGCCTCCAATACTGCTAGCATGAACCAAATTCACATGTTGTACTTCCTGGAGGTTCATCGCAGGTGCAGCTCGTACTGGGTCTGGTATTTCTCTTTGAGAGAAATGTCCTTTGATAAGGTAATAATGACTCTTGCCCAAATCAGTAGGATGATGTTCATGATCTTGAGGGTCATAAACAAGCAACTTCATTGTGGACAAATGATCAGGAGTATACCTGGTGGAGTCCAGAATTTGTGCAACGAATTTCACCATACTGTCCATCATCGGGTAGTCATCATCTTGATGATTTTTTAACCAAGATCGAATATTTGCCTGGTTCGGAGTGACTGGCTGACTGGTTGGTGTCATTTCGTGACGTCCTGAGCGATCTAATAGAGGGAAGGCTGAAAACGGTCTCAAGGGAGGAGGAGCAGGAACTCTGGGAGGAGGAACATGCGCTCTGGGAGGAATGTTTCCAACATACGTGTCCCAAAGACCAGTATGAATGTCCCATTGACCTGGTGGAGGACGAAGAGCTTGAGAGAAAGAAGAACGAGCCGTTCTAACTGACCTACCTCTTTCAGATCTCGAAGTGGACCTCAGAGAATGGTGATCACGATGATGGTGACGGTGATGGGATGCTCGATGACGACGTCTTGTTCTGGATCTGGAGCAACTTGATGTTGTGCGTCTTTCCTGTTTGTCATCATCTGTTCCAACCGGCACCTGAGGTTGGACTGCTGACGGTCGACGAGGTACGGAGATCGTTCCTGGAATTGCGGCTGGGGCTACTACCGGAGTTGCTGGAGGAGCATGTGGTGTCAATGCCAGTCTTACTGCTGGCTTCGCCGGTGCTTTGGGTGGCCGAGGTGGAGTCGGGTCCACGTTGCCGGCCACAAAATAAACATTATACACCGGAGTCGACATGGCTCAGAAAACTAGAGAAAGGAAAATGGAAAATGTGTTGTCTGATATGACAACTTGCTAACTGTACAAGGATTGATCAGTTAGACAACTAACAAATGATAACGTATTGTTGCTTGCTCAACTGTACACCAAAAGGCATTCATGTGTACAAACACAATTCATCCAATTGGAATTCAATGCTAAGGCTTCAAGTGTGGAATTCAGAAAATTCATCTTATTGGTGACTATCAGTCGCCAAAATTGTCAAAAGTCAAATTCAAGTTCAAACTCAGTGGATTCAAGCTATTTTTGCCGGATAGCATACCGGGATCTATTCTCTCAAATGCACGCTTTGTGTCGGAGACACACGTTCAATCATTGCAATGAGCCACCGTGGCTGAATTCAAGAGTCAAATTCACTTGTGGATTCTCGCACTCCCAGGGGAGATACGACGCCTGGAATTCCAGGATCACGACCGGACTTTGACAGATCCCACGGCCGAAATACACACTTGCGAAGTCATGAAAGACGGTCTCTTCTCATGAATGCAAAGTCTGATTACCTCATGGTAGATTGAAGGCATCACTCGGCCATACTGAGTTAAAAAAGGCCAAGCTTATCCGTTGACATTTGAATGTCAGGTTGTTTAAAAAAGAAACCAATACGGCTCAATCAAAAGTGATCATGAAATGACTGAATGACGGCATGCAGGTTCTTGGGTTAGCCTGATCCCATAAAGTACTAACAGATACGAATATGACCACCAGCTATGACCCCAACATATTGGGTATGTCATCCAGGTGCATCATGCAGGTACGTTTTCACAACCTAAGGTGAGCGTCTTCATTGGCACAAGACTCACCAAAGGTCCTTGTGCCCCCTGCTATGAATTAAAATGCAACGGTATCCAAAATTTATGGTGGAAAGCAGTGGAAAACTAGTTGGTTGGAATCAGTCGCAAGAAAGTGAGGAACTCTTTGGTACAGAGCTTGACACACACACACACACACCTCCTCACTCACCTTCACTCACCTCACTCACTCACTCACTCACTCACTCACTCACTCACTCACTCACTCACTCACTCACTCACTCACTCACTCACTCACTCACTCACTCACTCACACTCACTCACTCACTCACTCACTCTCACTCACTCACTCACTCACTCACTCACTCACTCACCTCACTCACTCACTCACACTCACTCACTCACTCACTCACCCACTCACCTCACTCACACTCACTCACTCACTCACCCACTCACTCACCCACTCACTCACTCACTCACTCACCCACTCACCTTCACTCACCCACCTCACTCACACCATCACTCACTCACTCACTGACTCACTCACTCACTCACCCACCCACGCACGCACGCACGCACGCACGCACTCACTCACTCACTCACTCACTTACTCATTCACTCACCTGTGCATGCGCATACATACACACATACACAAAAACTCACCCACCATCACCCCTCCATCACTCTTATACTTCCTATTCCCTTCTTGCTTTTCTATGCTCAGTCCAAGTCCAGAGAAGTTGGTAACATGTGGGGTTATCCGGTCCTATAATTTGGTGAAGCTCCTCGAAGTGGAGGCACCCAAAGGCAATATGCCAACAACGCCGTCAGGGTTGTCCATGCTGAGTCCGGAAGGCTACGCCCACGCTGCTTTGTATGCAGCAGCTAGAGACCTTCCAAAGCACAAAGATGAATGGGCAATCGTGCTACGATCTGTCCCTTTGGCATTCGTGGTTTTACCCGATGCTCAAAATGACACGTGGGTATATGCCTGGAATGCCCGCAACATTATCACTCAGGAATTCGAAAGCCTTAGACGAACAGCATTTCAGCTTAGCACAGAAATAGCTTTGATGAAGAAGCGGCTTGAAAAAGATGCAGGAAGAACGATGAGTCCTTCAGAGGTTGTTCAGCACTTTCTCTCGAAGAGACCTATGGCGCGAAGAGCTGTCTGAACAGCATGACGAAGTTGCACATTTTGGCAGCAAAGCCCCTCCCAGCATGTCGGGAGTTTGTGGTGCAAGGCTTGTTTGACTGGGTCTCACGAGGCCTCATCCCAAACGAAGAGGTCACAAAATCCACAGTCCTTGGTACGTCCAATGCGTGCGGTTTGGTTCAACTCTTCCAACTCAAGAAGCAATGTCTGGATTTTTGGTGCTCCAGCATGATGGCCCGAGCCAAGATCGTTGAGGCTGACAGAGAAATTCTTCAGAGAGTTTTGTCCAACCACGAATCCTACCGCAAGGAAATGCTTGGAGAAGCAGTGGCATGGCAAGGACTTTTGACAAGAAGCTCTTTGGATTGCCTGCAATTCATGGAGGCAGGGCTAGCGACATCATATCATTTGTCGTGTATTTTTTTGGTTTGTGTTATAATGTGCGCAGGGAAGACAATCAAATGCAGGTATGAATCACATAATTATTATTGAGTTGACATGGAATCCACAAATGAATTGCCTACGTATTTTAAGTCAAACTTTTCATGCACGGCATCCATCAGAAAACATCAAAATACGTTCTCTTTCTTCTTCCTTCCCCCGGCTGCAGAAACTGGTCTACAACAAGCAGTTCGACAACGCTTTGAGGGGCTTGGCCAGAGGAAACAAAGGGCCAGAGGACGCGACAGAGCATGAGCAGATCAAAGAGGAGTGGGACAAGGTGGTGGCCTGCCGTGAGAATGAAATTTTGGAAGCCACCGTGAAAGACAAAATGGAGACAGAGAACCCTGAAGGAGAGGAGGCTGACAGCGCCATCAGCCAGATGCGCCGGCCTGCAACTGAGTTTGTCGAGAACAGTCAGGAATATTGGAATAGCCTGGCGAATTCGACCGTGAGACGATACATTTCGCTTGTGGTCTTACCCAGCAGCCAAGGTCAAATCATTCGGACTTTACAGCAAAGTGCATTGAAGGAAATCATCATCACCGAAGGGCAAAAATCGTGCTTGGTTTGGTTTGACATGGACCTCATGGGCGAGACCCCAGGATTGAATGCGCAAGTGGGATTGAGACGCTTTCCTGAAGTCAAGGGAGACGGTGACTTCAAAAATTTGCTGCAGTCTGTCATGCTGGCCAGAGGGGCCCAGGTGAAGAGCGATGCAGGCGAGGTCACAGTGCCAGGCAATGGAGAAATCATCGCGGTGCACACTGCCGAAAGAGGATTGCTGCAGGCAGAAGTGCGGAAGGTCTTCCGCCTCCAGGCTGCCAGACACGAAGGCACTGACTGTGAAGAAAAATGCATCAACGTCATCTTCAGCGAAGAGACGGTTCGTTCCAGGAAGAAACGCATCCGTGGAAGCGAAGCTTACACCACGTTGACAAGTATCCAGGCATTTAGTGCTGCTCAACTAGTGCCTGGAGTGGTGCCGGAGAAAAAGAGGATGCACTACCCAGGATGGAACAACGGAAACGTCGTGGGGTGGATCGACGCTCTCCCGGCCACTGCGCTATGGGAGTCCACCCGGGAAGTCAAGGAGAAGATCTTGGGAAACCAAACCATGAAGCTGAGCACGGCAGAAGCAGCTGGTGTCTGTGATTTTTTCAGGCTATTTTATTTTCTCGTTTGGTTGTTTTATTGTTTTTTTTTGGTGTTGCTCACTCAGGTCTGACAAAGGAACAGAATGCCATTTTGCAGAACAAACAGCGCGTTGAGAGCGTGTTTTCCGCTGCACGCTTGCCAGCAAAGTTTCATCAAGACCTTCTTCATTCCTTTTCAGCGGCAGCTGTCATCGATCTCACGCCCGGCCAAGGACACATGTTGGAAGCGTGCCTCGATTCACGCACGCCTGTGCTTGGGTTTGGGTTAACAGAGACCCATTGCACCATGTTGGAAGAAAGGCTGACGCGGTATGTCCTAGCCCTAGAAAAGTTCAAAGAAAACGGTCACACCATGTACCGCGAAGATGCTGCCAAAGCACTTGGCGCAAATGCAAGCTCTGGCACTGACCCCAATGCCACAGATGCTGAGCCGAAACCCAAGGCCAAACCAAAGCCTGGGCCTGAGCGAAAGAAGAACAAGGACGGCAGCGATGCAGAAGAAGAAGAAGAGGTTTCCGAGGAATCGCAGCCGAAACCGCCCAAGAAGAAAAAGAACAAAAAACCACAAAAAAAGAAGAAGAATCTTCTGAGGACGGGTCTTGGTGAATTTTGAACGTGAAATCCGGACAGCTGAGCAAGACATATCACCAAGACCCTGATGGTCTTACCTCTGTGCAACTGAGGTGATGTTTTGATTTGATGCTTTGCTCGATTGGACCCTGTGAGATTCAGATACGAGGTCTAATTGTTGCTGTGACCAGCGCCTTTGCCCTTTTCATGTCAAATTTCGCTGCTCAACAGAAACAGCATTTTTGGAGCCGTGACCCTCTGATCTCTTGGCCAAAAAAAAGGAATGTGGTGTGCGTGTGCGTATGTGTGTGTGTGTGCGTGTGTTTGCGTGTGCGTGGGTGGTGAGGGAACCGCAACCTAAGTGACAAGGAGATGTCTTTGATTCATGAGTTGATGGACAAACTTTTTGATTCATGTGTATATTTGGGTAATTTCAACATTGCAGGGTCATATGCATGTTTAAAACGTCCATGATCTAATGGTAGTGTTTTTTGTGACAGTAGCTGCAAAGGCTCAAACTGTTTCAGGTCAAATTTGTGACTGCCGCGTTTCGCCATGTCTGCGTACTCAGCATCGGGTCAGTCTCAAATGCCGGCATTGATGATGGCACATGATGATGACGCAAGCTCGAACAGAAGCTGGAGCCTGGTGGGTTCCTAACACGGCGCCACAGTGATCCCGGGGGACAGTTCCAATGTTGAAGTGAAGTATCTTCAGCAGCAAGGGGACCGATCAGAATATCCTGGTGGTCTTACCCCGGTTGGTCATCCTAAAGACTTCACCCCGGGATTCATGGTGTGCTACACCAAGCGCGGCGGCTCGGAGGACGACTGCCACTGTCCAAATTTGATTGTGGAAATCACGGGCCTTCCACTTTCAGACCCGGACATGGCGTTCCTCGTGGACACTCATAAGATTGAGAGGGTGGAGGATATCAAATCCATTGTGCAATGGTGGGTGAGTGAAGGGTGCGTTGACCACGGGTTGGAAGCCACCGAGTGGATACCCAAATCGCATTGGGTACTCCACAGCATTGAGCGGGCAACCCCGCACAACATGCCCACAAAATACCTGAAGAAGACGGACATGCCGCTCAGGTTTTCCTGGCACACCTGGAGCCCATCCCACAAGAAAAGTCACAGCAGCGTCGTGGTCTGACCCGCCCAGGATTAAATGGCCATAGCAGCAGGGCTGTGGTCTTACCCACCCTGGCCCTGGAACGTCTCACTTTTATGGTTGGTGAAAAAAAGTCCAAAGTGAAATAGTTTTATGCGCAACTTTTTTTTAAAAAAATGCCAGCCTATCAAATGCAATTTTTGTTTTTGTTTATTGGGACAGAACCACCAACCCAAAAACACGCATCTTACGTCCGGTCTGACCCCAATAGACCCTTTTTAAGATTGCGATGCTGGACTTGTCAGTCCTCTTCCTGCGCAGCGATGGCAAAAATGTGATTACCTGACTCTGGGCGGAACGGACTGTTGCAATTCCAAACCCCCGTTGAAGAACCGTTACTTGGGGATGATATGACAATGAAGGTGTTGATGGTCAAAAAATAAAACAATGTTCAAATGTCATCTGCACGATGAAAGTGGTTACCGATGATCATCATAGTTGTTGCCATCCTGGATCACTGACCCTTTAGTTCATACATAGGACATTCCCTTTCCCGGGGGCATGAGACCTCATACTCACACAAGGGGCCAGAAGCCACAAACTTGTGGAGGGGCCTCATAACCTTCTGAACAACCGGGAAGTTATATAAGATAATTGTAGAATGGATAAGCAGGGGCCTCAGACCACAAAACTTACGAGGGGCTCTGCTGAACAGAACCAACTAACTCGCAAGGGGCCTTTTAGCCAACAAACAACCGTTTTTTCAGTAAGTTCATTCAGCATGTGAAGGTTCAATGTGTGAGAAGGATGATGATAATAATCATTAACCAAGATTCCCTTGAAGCCGTTTTTGTTTGGCCTGTCGCCGCTGATGTTTTCTGAAAGCCTCAGTGGGTGTTATATGAAATCAAATGAGTCAAACGTGTAATTGAAAGAATGCATTGAGCATGTCGTATGGTTCGTACGATATATCAGAAACAACACACACGAAACATGGTGCGAAAAATACATCAAGAAAACGAAAAAAACAAGAACAATTACAACAATCATAGTCATCATCATGGTTCCAAAACAAGTTTCAGTAAATCCTAGTGCTACTCAGCAACATTATGGCTCCTGCATGCATATTGCTTTGGCTGGCACTGGCTTTCTTGGTCTTTGACGCTACCCGACCGAGCAGATCCAGCTTCCGCGCTTGAGGTTGGTCTTGGCTCAGGACCGGGGGCCAGGGAAGACGTGTCTGCTCTTTCAAAATTTGTGTTTTCTTCCCCTTTTGGTGGTATGTTTGATGTGCAGTTGGGTTCACTTTCTGTGCCTTTTGCAGAGGTAAAAACCACCATGTTGAGATTTTTCTTTTGAGGTTTTTTCTGTTTTTTCCTCCTTCTTACTTCTTTTGAAAGGACTTGGGGCGGACCCAAACTCTAGAGCTTCCTTCACTTCGTCGTCATGTGCATGACAATAGTGCTTCCGCCAAGTTCTGGCATCTGCGCGTTGCTGCACTTCTAAAACTTTGGTTTCAGTTGGCCTCTGCATTGATGGTTTGTCTTTGTTAAAAAGCAGTAGTGCCGAGCTTGTATGCCTCGTGGCACCGTGAACTGTCACACGGCTACCCCTATATTGGTTGCTTGGGTTCCATCTTCGTTGATGTGTCAATGCCCACATGACATCCCGGATACGGGTCACTGCATCAGACACCGATTGTCGGGCCATGTTCGGCCGGCAATTTTTTTTCTGCTATTGCTTTGAAACAGAAATGTTTCTGATGTAACGTCCAACATAAAATCGTCTTTGCGCAGAGGCTTAACATTTTCAAAAACTTTGGGATGCGAAGATTTAAATGGTTCCAAAGTCATGGGGCACTCCCACTTGAGACCCGTTTCGATTAATTCCTTCAGACCCTCAATGCTTGACTCTGAAATTCTAGCGCTCAGGCTTTCAGCGCCCAATTTCCCTTGCCCCGAAGTTTTTTTTATCCTCTTGTCTTTTTTGAAATAACACATGCGGAGCATCGTGGTCTTCTCCTCCGGTCAGGCGTATGTCTCTGCCTCGTAACAGTAGCGTCTCAGATATGCGTCGAGATGTTACCAAAGCTAGCCATAATACTACGCAGTAGATTGGCCCTGCAAAGAATTGGGCGACCGCAAAAAACAATTGTAACTGCTCTCTAGGAATGAACACATGTTGCTTTGCAGTTTTACTGTGTTTGTGTCCTTGGTTCCACGGCTTTGCAGCGGCTCTTTCCTTTTCATGTTTGTCCTGGTCCTGAGTCGGCAACGCCTTTTGTTTTGGGCGCGTTGTTTTTTCTTTGTTGCTTCGGGCTGTCTTCTGGGTAACACCGCAAGACGACGACGATTTGCGTTTCATTACCCTGCCCGAAACCTTTCTTTTTTGGTGTCTTGCTTTTTCTATGTTACTTCGGTCTGTTTTCCGGGTAAGACCGCGAAAAAACGACGATTTTCCCTTCATTATACTGTCCGTGCCCGAACTGTTTCTCGATTTGGCGCACGAGTTGCCCGAATTTTGATCCAAAATGACTGCAGAAAGCCAGTTGCAAGGGGCAAATTTTGAACTTACCAATCGACCTGGGCCAACTTACCGAAGGGGGCGTCGGTAAGTTGGAACCTCGTTTCCCTTAAAAGGTCCAACTTGGCGACCATAAGGTCTTCCATTCGAGCCTCTCTATTGCTCCGCTTGTAGCTGGTTGACCTTGCTTTCAAGGTCAACCAGCTACAAGCGTGGCAACAGAAAGCTCGAGTGGAAGACCTTATGGTCGCCAAGTTGGACCCTTTTACCTTCAAAATAAGGTTTGAACGACTTTGGAACTCAGCGCTGTTGTCAATTTTTTCCCCCAAACCAGTCCTGGTTGTTGTTATGACCACCTGTTTCTTTGAAGTCGGCGCTGGTCCCTGAAGACTAACACTGTGAAAAAGGTTTCTTCTGGATCCAGTAGCACGTAGAGATAGGGATCCAAATGGACGGGAGTTGCCCACGCGCAGATATAGTAACCGAAGAACAATCCTCGTTGTATGATTTCTATTCTTTCTGGATGAGCATCAATCGATGTTATTAAATCGTGTATCAGAATCTCACGCGACCCGGCGTCCCTCCACCAGTCGATGTGTTTCCCGAACGCATCGGCCAGATCTGGGGAATAAGTTCTGAAAGCGCGAAATTCAAGCCTTCCAGGGCTTCCCAATCGCCGAAGCCTCACAGCAGCCTCCATCGAAGTGTCCTAGCAAGTGACCGGGGGGCCCACCACCAGCTACTAGTTACTGTTTTTCAAAATTCAACCGTGGAAAAAATATGGCAAACCATGCAAAAACTGGAACGTTTACCGCATACATGTCAACGAGACATAAACAAATATATTTTATTCCTTTCCGTGCTATATTGTTGCCAACCAGATTTGCACTAGTTATTGCAGCCGAAGGTCAAAGAAGCTGTGGCCCAACCTTTGAACTCAGTCGCACCAGTCCTGTTCAGGGAACCGGGGGGCCAACTCCCTGTGAGTTAAACCCAACGGTTTAAAGAAACAAAACAGTAAAAAAAAAAATGAAATTTGAAACTAAAAGATTTCAAGTTACTTTACTTGGGGCAAGACCGGCTAAAACGTTTGCACAACTTCTGGTCTACTTTACTTGGGACAAGACCGGCTGAAAACTACTGAACAACATTAATTACAACTATGCACTAACAAACCGGTGGGGGGTAAGACCACCATCACCAGCAAAGGAAGCAAAAAAAAACACTCATAGCGCAGACTTGTTTTAAAAATGTCGCCGATGACAGACACATGGAGAAAAACAAATCAAAAGTGGGAGATGATGTTGGGCTTAACGCTCACAATTTTTGATCGAAAAATCCATGATCTTTAGTGCGTTTTCCATTAATTTGGTGGTTCTTTGCCGTTGGCTTTGTGCCATCAATTCAGTGGACCCGATCTCTTCTTCAGATTTTTATGGGCCCATGTTATGACTCACAGCTGCTGGTTGGAAAGACAAGGTTTTATCAATGAAACGTAGTGGGACTTAAGCCTAACATGGGCCTAAAAAAATTGAAGAAAAAAAATCGGGTCCACTGAGCTGATGGCACAAAGAGAAGGGCAAAAAACCACCAAATTAATGGAAAAACACAGTAAAAATCATGGATTTTTCAATCAAAAATGGTGAGCGTTAAGCCCAACATCTCCCACTGAAACTATCGAACCAGCAGCTGTGAGTCATAACATGGGCCCATAAAAATCTGAAGAAGAGATCAGGTCCACTGAATTGATGGCGCAAAGCCAAGGGCAAAAAAACACCAAATTAATTGGAAAAAAACACTAATTAAAAATCATAGATTGTTCAATCAAAAATGGTGAGCGTTAAGCCCAACATCTCCCACTGAAACTGTCTAACCACCAGCTGTCCCACTGAAACTATCTCCCAGCATCGTGCGGTGATTTTTGGGCACGCCCTGCCCCCCCCCCCGGTGAAGACCAGGAGGTCCTTTCCACCTGGTGAAGACCAGAGGATTGACAAATGAAACGAAGAAGGGTAAGACCTTCTTCTCAAAAAATGAATATGAGAAAAAAAGTGAGGGGTAAGACGGTAAGACCACCATCACTGAAAAAAATGTTCATGGTTCAGTGTTGTTGTTTAATAAAGTTTTTGTTGTTGTTCATTCATGTGGCACTGTAACAACCAGGAGTTCTTCTCCACCTGGTGAAGACCAGAGGATTGACAAATGAAGCGACGAAGGGTAAGACCTTCTTCTCAAAAAAATGAAAAATATGAAAAAAGTGAGGGGTAAGACCACCATCACTGAAAAAATGTTCATGGTTCATGGTTCATGGTTCACGGTTCAGTGTTGTTGTGAGTTGTTGTGCATTGATTATTTTAATTCTTATTACAATCATTACTATTGTTATTATTGTTATTATTATTATATATTATTATTATTAATTATCATCACTTTTTAGTGTTGATTACTTCTTACTTTAATATTTTTTTTATTCTTGTTATGGTGATGTTTATCACATGTTAGTGAAATTGAATCATGTT